AAAATTAAAAATAAAAAATAAAAATATGGTAGGTGTCTTGTTCTCTGAACACGTGGAGCTTTTTCTTCCTGACAGGCAGCAGCTGCCTGTTTGAAGATGATAGTGCTGGATTTGCTTTGTAGGGCTTTAAATGATTTTGTGTGGGCAGTGTGGGCATCCTAGTGACTCATTGGTGAGCTGCCCCATTGGTGTTCTTGGGCTCAGCCATGGTACCTGAAGTGCCGATTTCTGGAGTGAGAAAGGGAAATCTCCAAGAGGGTGCAGCCGTCAGATTCAGCTCATATGCCGGGAGCCCAGGGCTGAACATCTTCAGAAACAATACAAACACTTGAGAGCTAAATGCGCAGACATGAGCTGAGTGTGATGTGATGTCTGCACATGATCTTATCTCAATGCTCTTGGAGGGAAAAGGGGTTTTGTTGATTTTTTTTTTTTTTTTTTCAGTTGGTGGGAATTTGATACCTAAGTCTCCTGAGTACTGGTTGGAAATCTCACTGTGAGGCTTATCTTCTTAGGCATGCATTCAGGAAAAATTATTTTTGTTTGGGGTTTTTTGGGGGGATTTCATATGACTAAGGATGGGACAGGGCTAGGTTCCAAGTTTAAAACGCTTTTTTTTTTTTTTCTGTTGTAACAGATTCATTCTACCACTGCAAAACACAAAAAAAAGTGTAGCTAATGAGATGAACTTTAAGTGAACAGCCTCCTCTTTGAAGAAATGCCAGTTAAAACATATTGTTGCCTACCTTTATCTTATGGACCCCTAATAATAATAATATGGACACCAAATAATAATTTCACAGGGGGAAACTGTGGGGCATGACTACAATACATTTTCTTTTGTCAGGATAGGCAATATGATGTTTTGCTTGTGGGCAAAATGTCTCACCTATTTGCATAAGTCAAACAATGGAATGAAAAACATTTCCTTGGACATACAGAATTTCTTGTACCTACTCTGGTCAAATATGCAGTCTGTATTCAAGAGATGAAATCTGAAGAGACTGGTACTACTTCTATGAGTGCAGTAATAGCAACTCTTGTATTATCTGGTGTTTGGTTGTGGGTTTTTTGTTTGTGTTTGTTTGTTTCCTAAAGGCTTCTGGATCTTCCCTTGCTTGTTAAAAAGATAAAGAACTAAAGTGTGTACTTATTTATTTCTATTCAGTAGGGAAGAAAAGAGAGAGATCCTTGAACCCTATGTAGCAAACTGCTTTTAGCTCCTGACAATGAAATTAGGATTTTGTTAAAGCCATCTCTACCACTTCCGAATGAGACAAAAGCCATCCAGTCTTGCTGCTGGAAATTAAAGAGCTTGATGCAGATGATACATGAGAAAAACAGCATCCAGCCCATATTCTCAACTGCCACCTTGGCAGCAAGAGGAAAATTTGTGTTAAACTTCTGTTATTTGTGAGATGTCTGTGTGACAAAATGATAGCCCTCCCTCTTTGGGTTTGTGTAAATACTTTATAGGTTCTGGCAGAAAAGGCACCTGCATTTGCCTGCCCCACAGATACTGTTAGCTTTTCTTTCCTTGTAATGACTGGTTTGCAGTGAATGAATTAATCGGACTTGAAGCGCAAGAAGGTTTTGTTTGCAAATGTTCCCTCTTCTAATCAAAGCTTTACTTCAGTACTTTCTGTCTGTAGGGTCCTGGCCCAGCTGCACAGAACAACTTATTTGTACTTGCTTGCATTACCTTCCTGACAGAGTTCAATGTCAGATGTGCATGCCTATCACCTGGAAGACCGGGTTCTTGCTGGCTGTCTGGAAAGTGTTTTCAGACCATTGACCATGGTTTTGATCCTTTAACAGGCTACCTGCTATGCCAATGTTATTGTCCATATCAGGGGATATAGCTGCAAAGAAAAACAGTCAGAAATACCAAAATATTCTGCAGTATATTGCCTAGCTGATGGCAAGTGACTACAACACAGCAGCCCCTCCTCTGGGCTGAAAATGTCTCAGTAAAAAGCAGGCAGGGTAAGAGCTAGGTATGACATGCCACAAGATGTTTTACCTCCTTTCCAACGGGAATGGAAGTATCTTCCTTGTTCAGTCACATTATTTGCCCAGACAGCAGCCAAGACTGGTGTGTGCAACACTGCTATCCATATCAAAAGGCTCCAGTTTAACTTTTGTATACATTTTTTCAGTGGATTCCTGATGATGTAAAGGACATTTTTCCTTGAAATGTAAATGGTAATGGCTAGGTGTGTTCCACTTGTCTTTAAATGGAACCAAGGATATGCTGAGAGAGTTGTATCAGTCACACGAGATTTTTTATTATTTTAATTGAACTTAATATTTCCAGAATGCTTGAATTCTCAGTAATACTCACAAGTGCTAACGTTTGCATTAAGACAATATTAGCACATATGCAGTACGTTCTATCCCATCCATCATATATCACCAGGGCATCTGTCTGCCTAGTAACCCTGCTCAAATGGGGTAGCTGAGCATCATTTATATTCAGATCTCATTTCTGCCTGAAAACCAACAAGTACAAGATTGTCACATGCCAGGGTTTTAAAAATAAAATCCCCTCTGGATCAGACCTGCTACCTTAGTGGAGATTTACTTCCTTGCAGAAAATAGTGAACAGCCAGCATGAACTCTTGTCTGCAGAATGGAAATATCAAGCTGATCAACATTTCCGCATTGCTGGCAAGATAATCCTTCATTTGAGCTGCTTATCTGAAATCTGTCTCATGAATCTGATGGGAGGATTTACCCTAAGTAGTTAATTATGGTGTTGCTAAACTTCCTCCTCTCTCCCTTATTCCTTTATTTCAAGGGAAAAAAAGAAGAAAAAAAAAAAAAAAGGCATCTATAAAGGCTGTAGACTTTAATTAAACACAAATTAAGCATTAGCTTACTTATGTACTTATGTTGGTGAACATTTACTGAGGCACCTGAAATTACCAATTTACTTTTACCCCAATCTTACTCTCTTCCCCAGCTGCTCACTGCTGGTGGCCTCTGGCAGAGGCAGAACAGTGGGCTAGGTGGATCTTTAGTCTGAGCTAATCTGGTTGTTCTTACAAAATTTTACTTTTTTATTTTTTAACTATGTTTGGGATTTTTTCTTTGTTTATTTGCTTAGGTCTTTGGTTGTGGTGGTGTTTTTTTTTCTGGTAGGTTGGTTGTTTTGTTTTGTTTGGTTTGGTTTTGTGTTTTGTTTTTTGTTGTTTTTTTTTTTTTTGGTTCATGTCTGACTTAGGGCACCTTAGCTGGAGAACTCCTCTGTGTCAGTCTAAGCCCTGCCTGTTGTCCTGGCCTGAACTGGGCTGTAAGGGAAATGCAAAGACAGAATGAAGACATTGCCAGATTAATTTTTTCTAGGACATGTGAGAGACTTACACTCTTCTACTGTAACTTAACTGCAGTTCCTCTCCACAGCTATTAAAGAATTTGCTTTTTAAGGTATTCTGTAGCTAACTGAAAATTATGAGGAGGTTTCAGTATTTTTTGCATTTTTTAAGTGTCATATCTGAACCCTTAAGTGATGGTTATAAACAATGGGAAATACATGTCTTCTTACATGATGAAAAAGTACCACAATATTAGGAGAAAGAGCTTGGAGTTCATTTCTGATGTGCACATATTTTGTCCATGGATAAATGTTTCACAGATTATTAAGACTTCTCATTCAACCTGTCAAACATTTTTATGTTTTGTTTGCACAAAAAATTTCCCTTCCCTCCGGATGAACTAGGACGGTGAAATAAAGATCTTTATCTCACTGCAACCACTGAATAAATATCCATTTCACTGTTTTCTTCTCCCCCCCTAGATTTTGACAGTATTATCTTGCACAGTACATAGTACAGCTGTTGCAGGGGTTCTGGACATTAATGTCAACATGTAACAAAGTACTGAATTATGACAGATTTAGTATGAAACATAGCCTCAAATTTTGTTTCACATTAATTTTCTATTGACACCTCTGCTGAAAGGCTTTACCTCTGTGAGACAATAGTGTTCTCCATGTGTCTGTGGTGTTTTGATGCACAAAGACACCATCAGTGAATAGAAACCTATGCAGGACCTTGTTTGGGATCAAGATATGGTGCTTAACTTCTCTCATTTGTTCTTACTACACAAGAGTGTCTTTTATTCTTACATTTCATAGCAGTTTTGTAACTTCAGCAACAAATACTGCAGAAAGAATGTGAGGAAAGAAAATGACTTTTCTCCTGCTTTCTTGCACTAAGAAGCTATTTCCTAAGGCTATCTACTTAACGGCAGCTGCTGTCTGTGCCTGGAAATGTTAGAAGAAATGACATTATGGCTCAGCACAGCAGCTTAATCTCTGGTTTCGATTTCTTCTGTATTTACCACCAGGCCCTCTGGGGCCCTTGTGCTACTGAGATGGAGTAGATTGTTAAGAGCAGATGCAGTGGCTGCTTTGTTTTCCCTTAACTGTTTTTCTTGGTTGGTGGCAGGAAAGTTTCTTGCCACTCCCTTATCTGAGGTTTATGTAATGGATTGATCATAAGCCCTGCTCCCTTAGAAGTTGTTCCAGTTTGGCAGAGCACGTTTCTTCTTGAGTCATGACAGCTACTGTAGGAATTTTTCTTGGCTTCAGATATAGGTGGGCAATTTCTTCCTACCATGGGCATTTTGAAAAATGTCCCCAACAAGAATCAGGCTTTCAGGCTTTCAAAACTGCTAAGGAAATTGCACAGTTTTATAGCCAAACTCTGAGGTTGTAGAGTCTAAAAATATGGACCAGCTCTGACACCTGGATACCGCATTGAACTTTCTGCAGCATGCATTGTGCTTCACTGAATAAGAGACTTGCTGTAAGTGCATACTCTAGCTCTCTCTGCCTGCTAGGGTCAGTTCTAATCTCCTTACACAAGCATTTTAACACATGTTGCCATTTATGCAATGTGTGTGCTTTTCTCATGGTCTGTAATGTGCTTTCCCACAGACAAGATTTAAGTGAAACTCCAATATCTCAGCTAATCACCAAAACAAACCTTTCACAGGGAAGGACTGATGTCAGATGTGATGCTTCTTGACATATAAACTACTGGCTGTTTGTCCTAGAAACCTCCAGATACTGAGCAGATCAATCCAGGATAACACTAATAAACAGCCAAGGAATCTGCACTTTGGACATTTTTCTCCATGGACATCAACCTGCGGTAAGCAAAAAGCAGAACACCATGTAAAACAATGAAATGAAGTCCTCTCCATTGTTAAATGACATGACACCACCACCATCCCACCCCCAGCCTGGTGGGCTCCCTTCACAGTCAGTAGTCAAAGTGCTGTGAAATAACAGACCTTGTCTAAAGCATAAAATTCTCCCCACCCCACCCCACCCTAAAAAAAAAAAAAAAAAAAAAAAAAAAAAAAGGACAAACAAGCAAGCAAACACCTCTGTTGCTGGCAAGAACTCATCTGCTTTTTTTTTCCTTTTTTTTTTATTTCCTTTTTTTTTTTTTTTTTTCTGGAATCTCTCTAGGGGGTTGTGATTCACTTTCTCTTCTCCAAAAAGACAAAGAAAACTCAGCTCACACACAACTATTGCTGCACACTCTCTGAGAGATGCTGTCAAATGTGGGTGTTCACTCTATTTAATTCTCTGTGGAGAATTTTTTCTTCCTCTCCACCAACAGGCGGAGCAGAGACCTCTCACCTATGACACTTTCAACAGGAAACTTACATTAAAAATAGTATTCTTGCTTGCTTGCCTCCCTAGAAATGAAATAATTTTACATTATTTCCCTAGTCTTTTTGCCAGCTTGCTTTTACCTCTCGTATGCCTATTCACTACTTTTGTTGGCAGAATGCAAATATACCAGACGAGACAAGTTGTCGATGTCATTTTTACTCCCCTTCTTTAATGATAGCATAATAGTTAAATGCTTGTTACACAGACTTCTGGGAACCTTTACTGCCAGGAAAAAAAAAAAAATTACTCTTTAATGTGTGCATTCCTATATTTCGTGTAGGAAACTTTTCCAAACCTATTCTTTAATCCTAAATTACAAAAAGTGTCCTTACAAATTGCTAACAGATCCAGGTAGCATATAAAAAGGTTGCACAACATACACATTCCTAAGAATTAATGTTTAACAATGGAGTGCCACTACTGAGAAGATATCTGGAAACAGTGCTGGTTTATGTGGAACTCCTTTGCATATCTCTGGCAGTAAAGAGCAGATCTTACTAAAATTTACACCCCAGTAACACTTGCCTTACAGTTGCTTTACTTTTCCAGAGCACTAGAAAGCCTACCTCCTGCAAAATGAGCATGTGACCTCAGAAATTATCATGGGGGCTTTTTGATTATTAATCCTTTATTTGTAGTTTAGGTATCTTAAATAATGCTAGTGCACTTCAGTCATATTTTGTCTTGTGTGTTTACCTAAAAACAAGCATGGATGTTCAGTTGTGACACTGAGATTTCTCCCATGAAAATAAATATAAAATGCAGGAAAGGTAGATTAAGTTTTACACTTATGGGTACATACTTTGTTTGTGTTTGCTGAGTTCAGTTTGGGCTTCCTGACATGGGATCAATGACTCCAAAACATTGATTGAGGTCAATGTCCCATCATAGTATCCAAAGATAAACTCCCCTTACACAGTGGTGGAAGGGTGTCAATATCCTAACATGCCAAACATCTTTTTTTTTTTTTTTTTTTAATGCTAGAAAGAAAACCTCCTAACCCCAGCTAAAATAGGTAGGGTTTTGCTTGCCTGTACTTTGACAGTTGATGAGTGGATGAGGGCTGATGGGCTGTGACCTCTAGAAGTGAGTATGTTACACAACAATAACATAAAGCAACATTAAGCTAGCAAATGGCAGAATTAGTGCTGTTTGCAGGGAGTTTCAAGTCCTGGTGCTTCAGCTGCTCCACAGTTTTACGATACTTGGGGTGTTTGGCCACACTTCCACTAGTGCTTGAAATCGTTGCTGCAGCACCTGCCCACCCCAAACCAGATCAGGAAACCAAAATCCTTCTCTGTTGTTTCTGGTTGGGTCGGTTTTGTTTGTTTATTTCTTTTCATGTTATTAACAGGACAGCTCTAACCTGGAGCAGGATGGCTCTAAGTGTGCTTGAGTAGAGCAGGGATCAGCTTTGTCTGTCCCGGCGCAGGCATGCCTCCTGTCCCACTTCATGCCACACTGAGACAGATAAAACTGCTCTGTGTGTCCAGGGGGTGGGAGGAAGAGGGAATGGAGTAGCAGCAGAAAAAAAAAAAAAAAAAAAAAAGAGGGAGCAGTGTTGCTGGGGACAGGCGAGGCAGACAGGCGAGACTGTTTCTTTTATATGGTGCCAACTTAGATTAGCTTGAAGTGACTATGAAACTGCAGCCTAAATTAAGTTTCATCCCGTGTACCCAGCATTATTCATAATTGCTCAGAGCCAAGTAGTCTGTTGGAGCCTGGGATGGCATTTAATTACTTTAATACAACATTGCCCTTTTTTCCCCCTAGAATCTCCGTGTTTGCTTCCTTTCCCAACTAATGAGATAGACTATGCAGTCAGTGTATCCTCAGACTAGCCTCCGTCCTACAACCAGTGGTAGCAGGGATCCTCTAGAAAAAGAAATGCAGTCATTTAGTTGAAACACTGCTCGTGTTGTTCAGATGCAACCCTCCTGCCAGGACGTGACTGGCCATAGCAGGGTCTGAGTTCAAATCTAAGGGAGTTGCCCCTGAAGCAGTGATTTAGGCCACACCTGGGCAACTGGGAAAATTGCACTGAATTAGGTAATTTTTCCCAATGGCAGATATGAATCAAATAGCTAACAAAGCTTTTACTTTGTGGTTTGCTTGAGGGTTTTTGTTTGTTTGTTTTCTCTGAGAAGGGGGAACAAAAATCCACCGATCTGACTGGGTAGATAAGCAGAGTAACAGTAACTGATTGCTATAGCTATTCTTCAGCTGCAACAGCTCACAGTCTTTTCCTGTATGTAAGCAATTTCTAGGCTGTTCCTTTCCCCATCAACTGTGAACGCTGAGTTTTGCTGGGTGATAAACATCAGTTTCAAGCAACGAAACTCCCTTTCAGCTGCTCACCTCCCTGCTGGCTGTGCCTCCAGCCCTCCCTGGCCCCTGGACCTCTACCAGCTGCTCCTGTCCTAAGATAGCCAGTAGTTGAACTGAATCGAATGGGGATCAGGGGAAAGACCTTCAAGAAGAGGTGGAAATTGTGCTTTCTGCCTCCTAAGTTTGTACGGTCTGTAACACAAAACCTCATGACCTCCCTGCTTGCTGAGCAGAACTGCTAACCTTGCTCCGGCTGCCAGAGGCTGTCCTTGCCTTGGATGAGGACAGCCATTTACCCAGATACATTTCACACAGCTACAAGCAAATTATGAAACAATAAGTACTGTTATTATAGCTGCAAACTTTTCTCCAGTTTGCAACTCCATTTCTCAGCAATGTCTCTCAAGCCTTGTAACACAGTGTACAACAAAAACTGTTTAGGGCACATCTGTTGGTGCTCTCTGTTCGCCTCCCCCTTGCCCCACTGAATGGCAAAAGAGCACTTCTCTGCTGGGGCTTCCCTCCCCTCAGGGTTCAAGGTGTGTGGGGGATCTCTTTCATTTTGGGGCTGAGACATCAGGTTCAGGATTCAAAGGGACTGAATTAAGCCTTGCTGGCTAGGTGCTTGGCAGCCCCTGCTTTGGCTTCTCAAAGCAGCCATGAGCTCAGGAATTCAAAATCCTTTTGCTCACTTTTCAATCGCTCTGCCATTGAAACTGGAAGTTCCAGTAAGAAAGCTACCCATGGCATCCTTTCAGCACCCTGCTGCAGCCTTGCTTTTACGATTGTGTTAGCAGGATCTTTCATCACCCACCTCCCTGGAGCACCCTCTTCATGCCCACACGTTTGGTTCCCAGTTGCAGTAAAAAGTTAGAACAGTTTGGCTTTCCTTAGGACATAGCTGGGGATTGCCAATCATAATTAAAATAAAACCAGCTTGTTCTCTTTTCCAGGAGGCAGAGATACCCAGCTCACCTTGCCATCTCAGAAATGAAGTTTACCCTTCTGCCAGAGCTGCACGTGGGGACTCTTGGCCCCGTGTCCCCAGGGCCCAGTGACAGAGGCCTCCCAGTAGAGGTGCTGGATACAAACATTTTATAGCCTAATTTTGCAATAAGACCTTGGGGAAAATTTGTTTTTGTTTTGTTTTTCTGCTGATCCCTTTCTTCCCTTTCTCAATCTCTGTTCCTTTACAAGCCTTAACCCAATAATTTAAATGTTAGGAGGACTTCCCTTGGCTGTTTTCTTGTTACGCATTATCACAAGACTGTTGAAGATAGCATAGTAATTGAAATTTCCTTCCCTGGGTTTTCCACAGCCTGTTTTGTCCTTGCTTACCAGAGCACTGCAAAACCTCTGGTTTCATTTTGTGCTTCCAATTCAAACAAAGGGAAAGTTCCTATCTAATTTCTTGACTCAGCTGAAGGATTGTATGCTCTTTCCCTTGAAAAACCTCCATTTAGGCATAACAGTTCAGAATCTTGGGGTTCAGTTATGAGTTGACCTCAAATGTCCTCAGAGTGCCAACAATACATGCAATGATCTAAATTGGGTACACTAACATAGATAACCAAATAAGCACTTACACTCACTTGGGCACTGAAGAAGCCACAAACAACCAAACAACAACAAAACAAAACAAAAATTATAGAATTTTAAAATCATATATATGTGCATAAAGATATATTTTTTAAATTTACAGTCTATATTCAATCCATTTAGAAATTCCAGGCATAGCCATTATTAGCCTTTACTTTTTGGGAAGGAATGAGGTACTCATAAAGCTGTAGGGTAACAAATGTAATTTTCAACATCTGTATTAGACAACAGCTTGTAGATGCAACTGCAATGCATAAATGAACCACATGTAATCTGCTAAACTGAAAAAAATAGAAACTCATGAAATACGAAACTCTACTGAAACTAAATTTGCAATGGCACTCTTGCGAATGTCATTCTTTTTCAAGTGATTAAAAATGCTACAGCTTCAGTTGCATGAGACAAGCTGTCCACTTATTTTGCTATGGTCTGAGACTAATGGGGAATGGGTAATCTGTACCTGCTCTGGGACACCCATGCACTGGAGGCTGATCATAACATAGGCTGGCAGCTTGGCAGTGATTCAGCTAGGATTGGGCAACCTGATAAAGAAGGATTTCAGAGCTGTGGTGGCTGTAGGGAAGTGCAGGAAAGCCTTCAGTTTGGAAAATCCCTATGTTTTTGCTATAACGGCTGGTGTGCAACAAGAAGAAAAGCGCGTGTAGCAATAACATAGAGGCACACGGCTCTGGTGCATTACAGTGTCTGGGAGCTCTGCAGGTTGGAAGTGATGCAGCAGGCAAGCAAAGCACTCTCTGCACCCCAGACGTGCTGTGCTTACGTCTGTGCAGCAGGGTTTCTGCTGGAGAAGGATCAGGGCGTGCACCTGAGAAGAAGCCACTGCTGCTCCCCACATGCAGTGAGAGTGGCCCCAGGTCCCCCATGACTGCCTCCAATTTGAACCCAGCTCCAGTTCGCACCTCCTTGCACAAGAAAAAAATCATTGTGCCAGGCTATGGTGGCACACAAGTGTTTACGAGTGGGAGCTTGCTCACTCCGACATCAGGGCAGGACCACTTTGAGAGTGCTAAATCCCGGCTTTAAAATTCACCACTTCCAGGAAGCAGCTGCATGCAAAATTGCTGCCAGTGATTTCATGCAAACACGCCTTCCCTGTCTCAAAGGTCCCCATCCCCTCTGCAGGATGACTATCTCCTGTGTGTACACTAATGAGGACAAGCAGGGTGCTGCTTGCACCAAACACCCCAAGAAATCTCCACAGAAGCCATGCCTTGGGCTACAAAGGTTGCTGCATGGCTCACAGCTCGTTACTGGCTGTGCATATGTACAGGGTCTCACTTAAGCAGCTCCTACTTCATAAATCCTGGGACTGTATGGCATGTCATAAGCAAATGAGATATGAACAATGGAAATGTCATACTCTTGTTTTTCATTTCCCCTTGGAAGTTCAAAGATACAGTAGACAGTTTTCAAAATGCAGTTTGACTGAAAGTTTGCAAAGATCTGCACGTTTTGGTTCATTTGTGCTCATTGAAGTCAGTGTGACTTTTGTGACAACTAGTTTTAAAACACCAACCAGTGCTGTGAAAGCACTTCCATCATGATGACAGGTATTAATCTAACATGTTTCAGGAGGATTTACACTCTCATTTGTCATGTTCTGTTAAAAGTAAATAAATCAGTGGGTTTCTTTAATAATTCACGAGGTTATGAATAAGTATAAAAATTAAACCAATAGCTTCCTTTAAATTACTATGGATAGATGTTTATTTCATAAAGATTGGGGTCTCTATTCTAGACCGTAGGTGGCTAGTAAGGCACTTCTGTCATACATGCACTGTGTGGAAACCTCAGCCCCTGGAGGACTCTTGTTTTTCACTTTTGTCCCTCTCTGCTGAGAGAGAAGGTAGAGACGAGGTGGGGCTTTGGCTTGCTGCCTGCTCTTGTGGAAAGCACCATCGTGCCAGCAGGCTGGGCAACGAGCGCCGTGCCAGACACCGGCTGCTGCAGGCAATGCTCTTGGAAAAAGAGCCACAGGGCAGAGGGGAAGCCAGGCTCAGGTCTGTGCATCACCGTTTGCTTTCTGGGCTGTCCCTCAAGCAACACTGCAGTGCACCACCCTGCTCACAGGCCTGGTTGGGAATGCACGGGGGGCTGTGTAATCTGGTTATTCTAGCCACTTACCGTGAATGGTAGGAAATTAGTTTTCTTTATTTATAAATTAGAAGTGTTCCATATTTATTTTTCCGAAGTAACTCTAAGTGGCTACTTTGTATTCTCAATACCCTGAACCGGAGGTAATTTTCATACTGCACATTTTCTGGATAACTGCAGATGACTCACCTAAAGAAAGGGAGTGTTGTTTCAGGTTAATTATGTCATAACTTATACCCCTCCCCTGTGCTGAGATTGAGTGTGAGGAGAGCTGACACACTAGGAGAAGACAGAGAAATAAAAAGTTACCAAAGGTTAGTCAGTCACCTAATGTAAGGTACAGGGTATTTAAAGTATATTAAAGACTTTTCCTTTATGTTGGCCCTTAGGGGCCATTAAACAGTAGGCTCCTGTAAAAGTTGATGCAGTTACAGACTATTTGTGGGTGCACCAATACAAGGGACTAGAGGTATGATTAAGACATGTTTAACTTCACATTAAGGAGGAAGAAGGGAAGAAATGATAGAAGAAATGTTGTGCAAAAAGCCCAGTCATTACTGCCCATGTTTGCAAATTATGTGAAAAAATTGGGAAAACCTGTTGGAGCCAGTAGAAAATCTCATTAATATCTCTAGGCTTTGAATCAAGCCAGTGATGTTCTCTTGATAACCCATGTTTCATCCACCCCTCTTTGCTGACCAGTTCATCCAATCTCTTCCTTGTTAATTCAAAGAGAGTTGTTCTTGTTTCTAATTATATGTTGACTGCAGGAGAAGGGTGAGGAAGGTGACCACAGCCCTTTCTAAAGAGAAAAACATTACCTTGTCTTGTGACTGCGGCTGTCCAATGGCACTGTGGTGAGCCAGCTGTGTGCATCATCTCAGCCCAGCTTCTCCTGGATTACTACGACATCTTTGGAAGACCTCCTTTCTTCTTCCTTTGCCATACCCAGCTAACCCATATCTTCTGGAAATAAAGATAAACAGCAGGATTGGTCTCAAGGTACGTTATCAGAAAGAGAGAAAGGTATTACTGTCTTGTGACGACATGTAAAGCCTCAGAAATATTTGAAAGGAGAGTCAAGAAATCTTTGCTGGCCTCAGAAGGGAGGGTGGTGGGGAAACCAGCCTCTGCACTGGTAAAAGTGCCGTGGCATGGTGGTGACTGGGAAAAATGCATTGCACATGATGGCAATCCAAATATGCTCAGTGAGAATTCCTCAAGGTAAGTTTCTTTGTTGCTTACCTCCTTATATTTGTAACCTGGGTATGAATTGTGTATAAGGTCTTATGTATACCAGTCTTCAGAATTCACCTGCCTTCTTCAGGTGCTTTCCTGACAATAGCATCCATTGAAGCTCCATCCTTAAGGGATCTGATTCTCATGTTGATATAATTCAGTGATTTCACCACGTTCAAGAGGTCTACATTTAGGGGAAGAATGCATAGTAGGCTTTTGGGGGCACGTGTAGTGATTTAACAGCAGGCAGCTATTCAAGTCTATGTTCAGTGTAGATAAAAGATTCTAGAGATAATATGTTAAAGGGTCCTATCTTTTTCCTAAAGCATCAAAGAATATAAATTCAGCATAATACTGGTGAGCTTCCACGTGTATGTATCTTTGTGTGCTCTAAGGTGTTGTTCAATTAAGGCAATCACAAGTTGAGTAACTTAACAGAAATACCAGCAAACCAAGAGTGATACTTTTCTGGTTTGGGGTAAGTTCATATGTGTATGTCTCTCTCTGTAGCATGTTAGTTTTGATTTAAATACAGAACCAAAACCTGTTTTCACTTTATGTTGCTATCAATCAGGATTAATTGCCTGGCATGAAAGGTCCACTGGGTGATGCAAGTGTGAAATGAGAAACTTTCTAAATTTCAGTGAAAGACTGCAGTGAAACATCTATTTAAAAGTAGTAGAAATTTCAAACCAGTCTGTGAGCTAAAACATAGTTGCAGACGTTGTTAATAAAGCTTATCTCATGCAGTATTTAATATTTATAGACAGGACTGTGGGTGGATATAATTCTTCTGATTATAGCTTGGCTATATTATATATATGAAAATAGAAATAGCCTTCTTGAAATAGAAACCCTGATATTGAATATTCAGTGCAGACATAGCTCACTGGAGAATTGTTTTCTAAGGGCTTTTGGTCACTGCAGGGACCAATTTTTTTGAGTTACTTCAGCATTTAGAAGCACAGTTCTATCCTAAAAGTCAGTGTTTCAAAGAAGGTCTTCCTCACTGCCACTATTTACAGTGCAAGCAGTTGCTGCTCAGAGGCAATCTGGGCTACAATACATGGGAGGGGCAGAGGCGAGTTTAAATGGTGGAGCCACGTGTTGTTGTGTATGCAGTGTGCTGCATGAGGAAAATCGGGAACATGCCATGTCAATAGCTTATGCAATGAATTTTCTGTATTCCTCATTATTGCACAAGACAATGCATGCAACATCCCTTCTGCTGTATTGCCAGTCCTACCCTGCTTTACAAAAGCATAGCCTATCTATACCCAAATGACCAGAAAAGTGTCATACCAAAATAAAGTGCTGTGATTAGACATCACTTCTAAATGATTTGTTTCCAGACCCATGGAAAGCTATTTACACAGAAGGCTCATGGAGTTTCTTTTTCTACTAAACCTGCTGGGCTGAGTGGTCCAAAAGCTCTACTTCTCTTGCAAGAAAATTGAGAGGATATTTTTAAGCATAGCACAGCATTTTCTCATTACAGAAAGAGGTAATGTTGGAGGGAGTGTTTGTGGCACCAGCATCTGGGAGGCTGTGAGTCTCTTTTCTGAAATGCTGCTCTGACAATTTCAGGTTCTCCTTGGCTTGACAATCAAAGAGCAAAATCCTTACAGTAAGGAAGGGCTGTAGCTGGGTCATCCTGACCAGCATGTTGAGTGAGATTACTCGCTTCAGTGCAATGAAGATACATTTACGTCAATAAGCTAATACTTTGTTGGTATATAGATTTGATTTGCAAGCTGGTGAAGACTGCCCAATTTTTTTTCAGTCATATTATATGATGTGCTCTTAAAGAATAATCTAATATTTTCCCTGGATAATTACATTGTCTTCTCTTATACTGTTCTCAGATAAGTTTGAGCGATGCAACTCCACGATTTTGGGAAGCAACTTAAGTTAGCATCTTTCCTAGAAAGGCTGTGACCACAGCTGAGCCCAAGAATGTGAGGTCTGAGTCATTCCATGAGGCCAGTAGTCTGCGCAGGTATCCTTTTCTTATTGTTAGCTTATCTGCAGACTAGAGCTGGGGTTTCAAATCCTGAAAAAAAAGTTCACCTAATAGGAATGGCAGAAAACAGAGGATATAGCAGATTAGTTGTCCAAAATACAGAAATAAAATGTTGTGGGAAAGCAATAAATCATAAAACTATTGGGGAAAAAAAAAAGAGAAAGAATAAGCATGTAATAAATATCCAACTTTTAAAATAAAATGCACAGAGTGTAGAGCTCATACATTTAAGACTGTGTCAGCACACCATAGAGACATACCAGCTTCAGTCTGAGTAATGCCAATGTCTACCACATCCACTTTTAGCCACATTTAATATAACTTGCTTTTAGTTTCCTGATGGCTGAGTTCACAGAAATTCCTTTTACTCTACTCACATCACAGTTGTAGACAGTTTTCCCCGCCCATGGGATTGGTATCCCATCCCATGTCCTGCACGCATGCTCTGCAGTACCCTCTAGGGCAAAAGCACCCTCTCTTTCCATGACGCTTTTACTGTGCATGACGGTGCTCAATCTGTCTGCAGCTCCTAAGCACGAGCATTTGGCTGGTCCTGAATCATGTGCGCTCTCTCCAGCAGTCCTTGCCCCACATATCCTCCTGCCAGATCGCACCGAGGTGTGCAGGCAGGACTGAATGGTCAGGCAGGGATTTCCTCAGCAGCTTTTTTCCACACACAGGCTGGGAAAGTCTCCAGATTTTTGCATCAAGCAAGAAATTATGCATGCTCCCAATTCCCTTTTCTAGGTGTCTTAAGGCAAAACATCTTCTTCACTGACTCCAATAAGCTTCGGGAGATAAAAAGAAATCTCTGAAGGGATCTATCTTACTGAACAGGACAGGTCTAGGAATCATTAAAGACGAAGGCCAAGACTCACTATTTCTACATACACAGTAAGTCATTACCTGATAACTACAAAATTATAAATTACCTCAGCTGTAGCTACGTAATACTTACTACAAAATCCACATCCATATCCACGTGCTCTTTTAGATGGCTTCTTTGTCATGTTTTTGTATGATTAGTATCTTTTTGCTTCTTCCTGTATTGCTTCGGGTTCTCAAATGACATCACAGGCTGCTTACACTATGTCTCTACAACCACAAAGAAAAATAAAATCACTGTTCCAAAGACCCTAGAAACTTGTCAGTGATTTGCTGTGTGGTTATAGACAGAGCCAAACACAATATCCCAGTTTCCCCTTGAGTCCACATAGTCATTAAGTAATTGTGCATTTCTAAAGTAAATTCAGTCTCTTCAGTGGTATTTGATAATGTTATGTTAGTTTTGAATGGATTAGTAATGATTTGACATTTATTCAAAAAGTACTCATCACTTTTGTTAGCTTGAAAGATTCCTCTAAAATTGATGTAATTTGCTCACAGTTACTTCAAGTTCCTAATAAAACCAATAGGACCTGTATGGTTAAATCCCAAAACAGCTCTCTGAAGGGTGGCTCTGGGACTCAAAGCAATGGTCTAACAAGCCCTGAAAATCTCATTTCCCTTCATTTATTTTTTTTTTTATATGTGGATAGCAAAAATAAATTAATATTGTGAGTTTGAGGCTACACAACTCCAATTTTTATAATTACATAGCCAGGAATTTTGCAACTGTACAGTAAACATACTATCTTAAAGGGAATAAAGCCTAAATGGCAACTTCCAGGTTACTTAGAATGGGAAAAGGAGTTGGATTTATGTGGTTAAAAACGTGTGTTGGCTATTAACTAAACCTAACCACATTAACTAATGACATTCTATTCACAATTTTTTCCTGCTATAAACTTAAGTTTGTTGCATTTATGCCTTGCTTTCTACATTCAAACCTAGTTTCCAGTTGTAGGATGGCCCTCACACAGCTATATCACAGGAAAAGATATGTGCTAGATTAGAGAAAGGGCATGGTTAATTGGTGCATTTTAGCTAATGCTGACCTAATTTTAACCTCTTTTTGCTACATTAGAAAAAATATCTTCAGTATTAGACTTTTCTTACTATATTCCTTCTGTGTTCAGTTAAGTTTATAATTCAAACTAAAATCCTTGAAACCCAGCAGGCCAGATTTGTTGGAAAAAGAATGTAGTCTTCAAGGTTTGTTTGGTAATGTAATTAGCAATGAAGGTAAGGAAAAATACAAAGAATGTCTTGAAGACAATAAAAGCAGAAACATGAATTTGCACAGCTGATTAAGTTTTATTTTAAAGGCCTAAACTATTTTATAGGAAAAATGTCATCTGGATGGCCTAATAGTCGTAGGAAACATATTGAGAAGGCCATCTGAACAGAAATGATCAGTGATGAAGCCATACAGACAGGGAAAGGTTAAAATGCTCACTCTCACAGACATTTTATGAGATCTGCAAGAACTCATACAGCCCCTCTCAGCCCTAAAGCACCATGCCTAAAAACTGAGCACAGCATCCCAATTGTGGGGATTACAATGCTCGCTAGAAGCGCAGCCTTTGCCCTTTCTGGAGAGCTGGGCCGCTTGCCAAGGAGACTGGAGACCACAGGCAAGCTCCCGCGCTCTGCAAACTTCCTTTGGCTCTTCCATCAGCTAATGGTACTGAAGGATTTTGGCTGTGGTCAACCTGTGTTGCTGCTCCTAGCGCTCTGGAGAGGCACTGAAATGGTGATTTCAGTGATTCACGTCGCTCTTCTGCTGTGCTGTATAAAATAAAGTGGACATAATAAGAAAATACTACTTTGTTGTTCGTGCTGGGTCATGACAGACTTTATGTACTCCCATAATGGCATTTTACATGGCTTGGAAGAGAAGATGCTATCACATAGAAAACATTCAGATAACGTTGCTAGAGAATAAACTAACGTGAAATGAAGTCAAGGAGAGGGTGCGAGAAGGGGGAAGAGCAACAGGAGTCTAGGCAGGGAGAGAAGACAATGCAGGTGCTGCTTTGTGAAACAGCTTCAGAAGGGGCCAGGAGTGGTGGGGATGTCACTGGTCACGTAGGTGGGTGTGAGTGATGGGAGGACAAGGGAGGAGTGGGTGTGATGTAGGCTGCGTACACCTTCCTTCAGGGTCAGCACAGTGGGATGAGTCACAGCTGAGGCAAGGGTTCAGGTTCCTGAAATGGACTGAGAGATGTAGTTTGTTGCTGATGTGGAGGTGGGAAGGTCTGGGGGGCTCTGTACAGGTTTTGTGCCCGTGCAGCTTTAGCATGTATTCTAGGATAGGCAGGAGTTCATTTACATTTAGGAGTGAAAAAAGGAGATTGAAAATACACTAAACAGAGGATGAACGGTGCTACGAAATCAAGATCCGGTGATTTAATAGCTCACCATTCATTCCTGGAGCTATGGTATGTGACAGCGTGCAGACTCCAAACCAATCCACAAAGCTTGCAAAACAAAGTATGCGAGCTAGGCTATTTATTTTCATAAGGGAACAAATTAAGAACATGCATGTGGCTCATTACTGCGGCGTACGGCTCGGATGACCAGGGGTAATTACTGAGCTGTGGTGACTCAGTCAACTTTTACCCACGTTAACAGGGAAATAAGAGGCCAATAATGCTTTGCTTTTGCAAACGTGTATTTTTGTTTCTCTACCTACGGCTGGGATAGCCGACTGCCTCCCTTACCCTTAGGACCTCTCTGTATAAGATCCCCGGGGATCCTCCTCCTCCTCCTCCTCCTCCTCCTCCCCGCCCGGTGCGGGGGCGGCGGGCCGTGGCCGTGGCCGTGCCCGTGGCCGTGCCCTGGGTGCCGGCCGCCGTGTTTGTGTTTGCCGCGGGCAGTCTCATGGAAACGGCCCGGCTCTGCCTCCGCCCCCGCTGGGTGGGCAGCGACACGGCCGTCCCCGCTGCGTCCCTTCCCTGTCCCGTCCCGTCCCGTCCCGTCCCGCAGGTAGGAGGTGCCCGGCGGAGCTGTCAGCGCCCGGCCGGGGAGCGCCGCCCGCCGCGGAGCGGGCGGACCGGGGGCGGTGGCGGAGTGTCGGTGTGTGTGTGGGGGGGAGCCGCGTCTCAGCGCTGCCCTCTCTTCCCTCTCCTCGCCGCCGGGCCCGTGTCCAGACCCTTGCGGAGCAGCCATGGAGACCCTGGTCCGCCCCGCGGCCGGCAAGCCTCCGAGCGGGTAAGGCACCGCCGCGACCCCCCGCTCCTGCCCCGTCCCGGCATGGCCGCCCCGCCAGCCGGCCGGCAGGTGCCCGAGCCGCCCGCCCCCCTCAGCAGAAAGCGGCCCCCAAGTGCCTGTCAGGGCGCCCGAGGAGCCGCGTTGGGTTTAATTTCCTCGGTTTTTGTGCCCTGTAGCATGCACCGCGGGCATGGGAGCAGGGGGAGCGGGTGCGGAGATGCCGGTGCCGGTGCGGCGGTGGTGAAGCTGCCCCTGTGCAGGGCTTCTGCCACCTGTGGGAGCTCGCCGGGGCTTTGTTTTGTTTTGTTTTTGTAAATAAATGCTTAATTCCTGTTAGAAGACAGGTCTGTTTGATGGTGACCCTTAACTATGATCCCTTCAGCTAACCTTTTATGAAAAACCGTAAGCATAATGTGCCTCCCCTCTCCCCTCTGATGTTAGAGTTGATGTAGCAGGGTGGCTGTTGCCTAAAATCCTGACAGAGTAGAGATACTAGTTTATGTGTGTGCTTTGACAAATATCCAGCACTCCTCTAGATACAGTGCTGATTAAAATTTTGTCCTGTTTGCTAGGTATCCAGAGTTTCATTAAAATGATTGACTAGGTTAGCACTGTGGTTAGCACTGAGGTCTGGGGGCGTTTTGGATAGAGCCCCTGGTATCTTCATCGCTGTGAAAGTGAGGTTATTCCACGCACAGACTCTGGTATCACACAGCTGGCCAGAAGTTAGAAGAACTGCACTAACTTTAGTCAGCTTGTTCCCGGCAGCTCAAGGAGCAGAATTTAATCTTCAGGTTAAGATATGCTTCGGATATTGCATAGCGGCGTGCTGGTGGCAAAGCTGTGATGCACGCTGACAGGGACTGCCCGTCTGCCTTGCCTGAATTCATGTACGTGTGGAAATACTCCTGTCTTTTCTTGGGAACTGGAAAATCTCAGCCTGGATGTGCCTGTGGGTTTCACTGACTATCTTGGTAATTCCTTGAACTTCTAGCAGCTGTACAGGAACCAGTGGATGTTTGGTCCCTAATTAGGATTTACACCTTCCATTGGGAAATCAGCTAGGACCAAGAAAATGCAACGAGGACAGCTTCATCTGTCCGTCTTGCTTCCCATATGAATCCAGATGTCACCTGCATCTGTAGAACTTGTCCAGGAGTGTGATTTTAACATGACTGTGGCAGAAGTACTCCTGTTGTGGCAGAAGAAATGCTGTATAAATTCCCAGCTCATTGACTGGGTTAGCTGGCAGTTACGAAAGCAAGAGGTTAAAATGACCTCAAGTTTACAATTTTTAACAAAATTCAGGCGGAGCTGTTTTGTCGTTATGTAAATCATTAACAGTAATGTTAAGAGTTTCACTTGTTCAATGGTGAGCTAATTTAATGTATAGTTTGGTAAAGAGTGAAGAAGCTCTGCTGTATGCCTTACACAGATGAGTCGACTGCATGTATTTCGTGGCACAGCTGCTTGAGAATTGCACATTTAAAAGAAGGATACTGTTCTTTGGTTTTCATGGACTTTTATTTGGTCTTCAATGGCAAAATGAAAAAAATGCAGTTTGTGTTGTTACTGAAGAGCTTTTCCCATTTCTCAGTTTTAAGAATAATTGTGGACTTCAGTATCAAGAATTTTATTAGTAGTAATTTCTAGGCACAAGTTTTATAAAGCTTGATCGGGTTTGTAATGCTTTAATTAATTAACATTTATTTTAGGTTATGAAGGGGAATTCAAGACAAGTAGTAGCGCCAGAAATGGGAATTATTTCTTCTGTAGTCACTCAGTGGGTGCTGGAAGAGAGAAACGCACATGTTTAAAACCTACTGCCTTGGTACCTGCATCTGTGCTGATTTCAGTAGGGAGAGCAGAGATAGGCCTCTCTGTCTGGGTCTCTTGAACAGCTGGTTGGTGATTTTATTGACAGTAGCATGGCAAAACTGACATACATTGGTCATAAGCAAGTAGAAAAGACTTGAGCCTAAATGAGCACTTGTAGGATCAGTTTGTGCAAAGAGCAGAGCATCGTCTGCTGTGAGTGCAAGCATCTTTATCTCCTGCTGAAGCCCATGGTTCGTTCCTCGAGTGGCCTCTGTAGTCTTCAGCAAGGGTGGGAAAAGTCCCTACAAGAAACAAGATACACGAGCACTTTCTTTGAGTTGGACTTTTACTGTTTGTGCTTCGGCTTCCTTCCCTGTCTCACAGGGTCTTAGCACAAACACAGGCACATGCAAGCACACCTGCTTTGGTGTGATTTATCTGCTGGATTGAAGTGACCGGGTAAGACAGATAAAGGCTGTGAAACGTTAGTGACGTTTCATTTCTCAGAAATGAAACCCATGGGTAAGAAGCATAGGTCACACACCTCAGCTTGTTGAAACCTTTCTCTTTTATTCTGTATCTACTCCACATAGTTAAGCAGGTTACCTTGTGAAATTCCACACCCAGCTTTTAAACAAACAAAAACCAAAACCATTACACATATGTTTAGCATATTATTTATAAACATTGTGTTGGAAAAGCCTGGAGAGCGCTGTTGTCCTCAGAATGTCTGTGTGAATATCATCATAACAGATCTTATGCTGCGTGCCCAGTGTTACAAGATTTAAGTTATATAGAGAAAACGGTGTAATTAACATTTAAATTGGAAAACTGGGCAATTTTCATAATTCACCTGCGTTGTGTTTATGAGAGATTTGTGTGAAATATACGGAGTGCTGTACAGCAAAGGTACATGATCACAATTAAAAATGTGGAGTATCAGAGTGTTTTGATAATTCCTGCCTTGGCCAGATGAAAGACTGACACGTGTTTTTTGGTGTTATCCTTCCTGTTGTGTCCTGGTTTGTACGTATGCTGCTGTTGCAGACTTCAGATGGCATTTAGTATGGGCACATATGTTTTTCGCACTGGTGTTAGCCCTGTCCTCCTCTCACATGTAGCTGGGATCCAAATTATTTCTTTTCATGTCAGCAGAGATATGTCACATAAAAAACAGAACAACAACAACAACAAAGCAGAAACCCTCAGGTGTCAGTACCAGAAGAATTATGCTTGCTATTATGTGAAATGAAATAGGGTGGGTTTTACGGTATTTTGCACCTCTGTATGAACATGACTATTGACCTGATATACTGCAAACACATGTATTTTCAGTTATGACTAATGTCTCAGGATTGCTGAAGATAAGCAAGCTAATTGTAACAATAAGCAAAAGGGAGAGGTAAATGCAGTGCAGTTCAGTCCTTACAGCTGTTCTTTCTGAATCCCAGTTTCCCATTTCTCCTATCCTTCCTCATTTTTTCCCTTTCTAAGTCTGTTAGCCTCATACCAGAGCAGAGGGATGAAATACATGGCTTCTTGAAGTCCCTGCCATTTCTGGGCTGCCCAGAATATTCAGGATTTGTTCTCACTCTCCCAGTCTCCTAATTGTCTCATTATTTTCTTTTCCATAAGTATCCTCCATATTTTTTCATCTTGCTTTTTTATGCTGCTTCTGCCACTGTGGATGAAATTGAAACTCCTATTTCCTGCTGTCTCCTTTCTCATTTGCTCCTCGTGTTTTCTTCCTGTAATTCTAACTTCATTTTTTTTTTGTCAGCTTTTGCTGCTATAACCTTACATCTTGGTCAAATTGCTTGCCTGTATAAAAGCACGTCCTTGCTCAGCAGGGGGAAGCACTATATTTTGATGGGATAGACTTTGCCTACTGCCCCGTCTGGGCAAGCTGCACCAAGTTCGGTGGATATCCAGGATGCTGCAGTAGATAAAGTCAGGGAGAGGGGGGGCTGATTACAAGTTAGAGCATTCCCACGTGTGCATTTTTAGCTGATGCTAGCCATTAAGGAAAAAAAAAAACTTCTTAAATATTTATTTGGAAGTCAGTTTGGTAAATATATGGCTGCTTTGTGTGTAGTCAGTCCTGTTGGTGAAGTGGTATTGCTTTTTGCAGAGTGATTCAGATCAGAGTACAACTGTGATTATGACCAGGAAAAAATATTTTTTTTTACCTTTGAAGGAATGAGACTTTTCTTGAATAAACGTACATATTCTTAAACATCTATTGTGCTTTAAATACTTATTTAGACTCCCGTTGTCACAGACTTGAATTATCTTACAAGCATTATGGAGGCTTCCTAACAGTATTCTTCAGGGGTAAGGAAATACACCTGGGAGACTCCATTTTATACAGGCAAAAGTGTGGCCACGTTTACGTGGCTTGCTCAGAAAGCTGCCAGGAGGCCTGTGGCAGAGCTGGGGAAGCAACTCGCTTCTCCTGAATCACAATTCAGAGCGTGAACAAGTGTTCCCCTGTGCTCAGCTTTTAGCTACTCTCTCAGCATCAGCAAACACTTGATTTTCTGGCAACAACTATGGTCTGTATACTGCAGCTTTTTTGTGGTGCTCTGGCATTGTGATTTCCATGAAAACTGACAGCTTTCACACTTTAATACTTCTTCTAAGAGACTGAGGGGTCTTTAGAAATTTATTCTTCCTGAGTGGCTTAAGCCAGCTCCTGCATTAGGAGCTGGCAGTGGAAGAAGACTTAAGATCCATGTTTCCATCAAAATTTGTGACTGAAGGATCTTAAAAAGTAGCTGCATTTCCAGATAGTGGATATTACAGCACATGCTAAATCCTCTTAATGTGTAGGGTGTTTCCAGAGCTGCTAGCTGCCCCATGAGCCGGGCTGCTTATCGTAAAAATGAGTGATCCTGGGAATAGCGTATTGTTGTCATAGTTTCAGCATTACAATGCCAGTGATGAGCAAGGGACTTTGCTTGTGCCAAGGAGTGACTCACAGAGGTTGCACGGTGGGGCAGTGCCAGGGTGGCTGGCACACGTGGTGCCTGATGCCCACTTTTAGCACCTTTGCGCAAGGAAGGCTGCCCTTGCGGGTTCGTTATGCCCCCAGCTAATGAGCTGCACAGGACGCCGGGCATTTGCGCAGAGCAGCAGTTGTAATGGGAGGTGTGGCAAAAAAGCAGATCCAAAATGGTCTT